GTGGTTTGTGCTGTGGGCGTGAAGTAGGTGTAGGAAGTACTGGGTGTGTAGTGGTGTGTGGGTGTGTAGTGGTGTGTAGGTGTGTAGTGGTGTGGGGGTGTGTAGTGGTGTGTGGGTGTGTAGTGGGGTGTGTGGGGTGTGTGGGTGTAGTGGTGTGTGGGTGTAGGTGTGGGTGTAGGTGGTGTGGTGTGTGGGTGTGTAGGTGTGGGTGTAGTGGTGTGGGTGTGTAGTGGTGTGGTGTGTAGCGGTGTGGGTGTAGTGAGTGTGGGTGTGTTGTGTGTGTGGTGTGGTGGTGTGTGGGTGTGTGTGTGGGGTGTAGTGGGGTGTGTAGGTGTAGTGAGTGTGTGGGTGTGTAGTGGTGTGTGGGGTGTGTAGGTGGTGTGTGTGGGTGTGTGTGTGTGGTGTGTGGGTGTGTGTGGTGTGTGGGGTGTGTGTGTGTAGTGTGTGGGGTGTGTGTGTGGTGTGTGGGGTGTGTGTGGGGTGTGTGTGTGTGGGTGTGTAGTGGGTGTGTGTGGGGTGTAGGTGTGTGTGGTGTGTGGTGTGTGGTGTGTGTGTAGTGTGTGTGTGTGTAGTGTGTGGGTGTGTGTAGTGTGTAGGTGTAGTGGTGTGTGGGTGTGTAGTGGTGTGTGGGTGTGTAGTGGTGTGTGGGTGTGTAGTGGTGTGTGGGTGTGTAGTGGTGTGTGGGTGTAGTGAGTGTGTGGGTGTAGGTGTGTGGGTGTGTGTGGGTGTGTAGTGGTGTGTGGGTGTGTAGTGGTGTGTGGGTGTGTAGTGGTGTGTGGGTGTGTAGTGGTGTGTGGGTGTGTGTCGTGTTATTTCTTGTGGTTTACGGAGCGGCATTACAACGAGTTGCAATTTTTTCACTCGTCACTGATATGACTCCCTCTTGATCACTCGTCACTCATAAGACTGCCTCTTGATCACTCGTCACTGACAAGACTCCCTCTTGATCACTCGTCACTGATAAGACTCGCTCTTGATCACTCGTCACTGATAAAACTCCCTCTTGTTCACTCGTCACTGATAAGACTCCCTCTTGACAGGTCTACCGGTTGTCAGCAACTTCCTGACGTCAGTAGCGGGGCTCGTGGTGCTGATGTGCTTCTACACCTCCAACTCTATCCTGGTGAGAGGCGCCGTGATGGACGGGGCTGGGGAGGGCTGCAGGAGTATCGTCTTCCCTACACACTACCTCAGGTTCTTCCACAAGGTGAGAGTCTCATCAAGTTCTTCCACAAGGTGAGTGTCTCTACCTCAAGTTGTAACACAAAGCTCAGTCAAATTCTAGTTAAATTCTTCTTGACTGGAGGCAAAACTTAACTCAAAGTGGTGAAAAAAGTAAGAGAGCCTTTTAAATTCACGTTACCTTTAACTGTAGATCTTTAATTACTCTACATGACATTCATTCACCTTCTAGTTTCACTCAGCTCCTTCATCGTTAAGTCTTGTTGTTGTCCTACACAGTATCACGTGGTGGTGAGGCAAGATTTTTTCCCCCTTAACTAAATCAATGTATGTTTATGTTGCAGAAGAGGGAGGAGGAGCAGCAGCGGCCAGACCTGTGGGTGCGAGGGGACGGGGGCCGGCCACCCCTGGTTATCAGTGCGCCCCTCGAGTCCACCCTCGCCAGTAAAGCCAACGGCGTGTGTGACGGTAGAGGCTTCGGCGACGGACACAGCTTCACTGATGGTTTTGGGGATGGATTCGGCAGCGCATATCCCGAGGGTGAAGGTCGTACTCAGCGTCCCAACTCCACCTTCCTGGGGCCCGACGCTAGCACGACCCGAGTGAACATAGTCAAGACCTCCTTACCAGACCCCACCCCTAACGATCCCTCCAGCAACAACGACCCTATCAACCATAACGAACCCACCAGCCATAACGACTCCCACGCACACCTAACTGAGACGCCTTTGTAAAACCTGTCATTAGAAGAACCTCAAGAGTATAAACATGTAACAACAAGAGATAATTTACTTATTTTTTCACTAAGAGTAAAATTTTTGAAGTAATAACCAAGATAAAATAAAAAATAAAATATCATTAACATTTATATAAAAAAAAAGGAACATAATGAAAGAGTTCTCCACGACCAAAGCTGTACATATTATATATATATAGGCTAATGAAACCTCCCATTCCTGTATTTATAGACACTACAGTGCATATATACGATGTTATGTAGGGTGTACTGTTAATAGTTATTCTATTATTCTCTGATGCTATTCTGTGTTTACACCGTATGTTTGACAAGTCCTTTATAATGCATTTTACACTATATTCGTCAACACAGTTCAGGTTTTCCAGTATTCCAGATGAAGAAGATGAGGTTTGGGGGAGTCAAAGGAGCAGGGAGGTGGGTGGGGGGTGTGAACTATATTTGGTGTCAGAACGGAACAATTCGAGTATGGTGTCAGAACGGAACAAATTCAAATACGGTGTCAGAACGGAACATTTCGGGTATGGTGTCAGAACGGAACAAATTCGGATATGGTGTCAGAACGGAACAAATTCAAATACGGTGTCAGAACGGAACATTTCGGGTATGGTGTCAGAACGGAACAAATTCAAATACGGTGTCAGAACGGAACATTTCGGGTATGGTGTCAGAACGGAACAAATTCGGATATGGTGTCAGAACGGAACAAATTCGGATATGGTGTCAGAACGGAACAAATTCGAATATGGTGTCAGAACGGAACAAATTCGAATATGGTGTCAGAACAGAACAATTCGGACGACGTTATCGATCGCTCGGCCTCAGGGGTGACCAAAGATGTATATCGACTCGTATTTCGTAACGTTACTTATCATATCTGCTTACTTCCTCGAGTTCCTCTTGTCTATAATCCTTGTAAATAATCTTGATATGGTCTGAGAGATGCTAGTGAAAAAACTCTGCTGTAACAATCTCACAAACTATACTACCATTAAGCGGTGATTGGTCAGATGGTTTTCCTAGGACTAATTGGCCCCCATTTTAATGTTTAGATTAGGTTGGGGCCTGTTAGGACAACGAACAAGAGTCCAACTCACTAAACAGGATATGTAAACACCCACAGACAACAGTAACATCATTCTTCTTCTTCCTCTTCTTCTCCTCACTCAAACGACCTCATATTATATCGACCAATTCATCTCTGTTACGTCAGAAGTAGTATGTACTTGAAGGCAATTACGTCAAGTTGATTTTCCTTCATTTGATTGGCCATTAATAATGATAGTGGATCCGTCACAGTTATTCAGTTTGGTATTGAGATTTGGTATCAGCGTCAACAACACAGATGGAAATGAAGAACAATATCAACAATAACAATAACAATAACAAGAACAAGAACAAGAACAAGAATCGTACAATGTTGACTTTTAACCACGACACTACAACATGGCGGTATTGCACAGATTTAGATATTGCCGTGAGTTAGAGTGACAATGTTACAAGCAATCCCCAACAACAAATTCAATTACCCGGACAGTGGAAATAATTAATAACATTGGTGGAGGTGGTGCCGGATTACAGTAGAATCGTGACCATTAATCCTCACTTAATCCTCTCTTCCTGACTTCCAATGGTAACTTCGCGTTTGTAATCCCAAGGGAAAAAAATCTCTTGTCTATGATTCATTTTTAGTTTAATTTACTACGTCTGTACCTCATTTATTATTCGTCTTATTACTTGTTTTGTCTGTATTTTGCTCTCTTTTCGTCGTTAATTTTGTCTATATTTTCGTAGGCATTAAAAGGTCGTTTTCTCTCAATACCCACAAATATTTTTTTTTTAATCTTTTTGGTATAATTTTCACTTTATATTTATTTTCTCAATATTTTCCACAACAGAGAAAAAAAAAGATGGTTGATTGTTATGTTCTTATGCATGATGTATTTAATGTTAGTACAAAAACATCTTTAGCTTTTACTAATTTAAGAAAGATTTTATGATATTGAATTGTCATTATGTAAATTAAGAATCTATATAAAGTAAACAAATGAAGATATATTGTAAAAAAAAAAATCGATCGTTCTTGTGGGCACGATTATAGAGTTGGATTTCATATGGATCGTGTTTACGTTTGTTTGTTATGGTCGTAAATAGTAAACAGTCAAGGATAATTAACCACGAGCTGTAAGGTAAGATGACAAACTAACACCCTTCACCTCTTTCAGTTCTGGTTTAATGATTTCTTTAAAAAAAATCGATTAAATTAATTTTTCGGTCTAAAGTTTTATATATAATTTTTTAATTGATATTACAGATAAGTTTTTATTTTTAACTCTGAGAAACAATATTACTTCAGGACTTAAGGTATAAATATTTATCTTTATCACCCAAAATACTTCCCTAAAGATTAATATAATAGTGATATAATGATACACTGGAGACTGTAGTGTACATGGATGATCCAACATGACTCTTGAAATGCAATATATATATTTTTCCCACATATTTTCTACACAGTGTTCTTATTCCAGTGTAAATAAAGTATACATAAGGTGTGGTGTGCTCTAGGAGGGTTGGGGTAGTGACGGGATCGTGTGTTTGATGTTATGAATAAAAAAAAAAGTAATTCTAAATTTAGTAAAGGAAACAAAAGAAAATCGAATTAAACTTTTATCTCGAATTATACCAGATTATACTTTCGTCAAGGTAATTATTGAAATGTTATAATCGATAAAAGATAATTAAATTGATTATTATTACGTAATTTTTACTATTTGTTATAACAGAAGCTGTCAGGTGTACATGTGTAGATAGAGTGTGTACACATGGTGTCTTAGTAAACATACAGGTCGAAACTACCTTTTAATTTTTGTCATGCTAGTCGTAATTAGAGTTAAATTAGGGTTTAATTAGTAAGTCATAAAAATATCGTAATTATTATTATTTTATGTTTAAGACCAAAGTTGTGTTTATAATCTGAAGATAAAATTCGTGATTGCGATTTTGTTTTTGGAGATGAAATACGTCATAATAATTGTGTTTATAATTCAATTTAACACACACACAAAAAAATCATAATTATAACAGACTCGTATTCATGATTCACATTTACATAAGAAATAACTAAACATATTCAACAATAAGACTGATAAATTATGACTTACTAACCATATAACAATGGGCTGGATTACCACATCTGGGGTGAGGGTAGGGTGAGGGTGGGGGGTCAACAGTGTAGGATGGGAGAGGGGGGTCAGGGCTCAGCATGGATGGTCGAACAGGGTGCCACTCTGCAGGTCAGATACAATAACGCTATGTAGGGTTACCTGAAGATTAATTTGTATACAATGTTATTTAGGTTTACAAACTTTAATAAAACATTTACCCTATTCTGGTTTTATTTGCCATTTGAGAATATAATAGTGAGGAAAGGGAAGGAAAGGTGAGGAAAGGTGAAGAAGGGTGAGGAAAGACGAGGAAAGGTGAGGAAGGGTGAGGAAAGGTGTGTTCCTTCTTCTTCTTTCTAAGTTGACAGAAGTTGGAAATGAATGAAAAGAAAAGAAATACAAGAAAAGATGATTTGAATAGTAACACACACACACACACACACACACACACACACACACACACAGAAACACACTTTCCATAATTGTCTTCATATTTTATAGATTTTAAAGAAAATTACTCAATCTTGTACTAAGTAACACAAAACCTGATATAACTTGCATTACGGAACACATAAACCTTGAATTATGGAACAGAAAAATGAAGAAAAAATAATCTTAAGAAATTACACAAAAAACACAATCATAAAAAAATTACTTTAGGAAATAAAAGGAATATCTTCCCTCTCCTCCTCCCTCCCACTGCACCCTGTTTCCCTCCCGCCTCCCGTTCCCCTCCCGCTCCCCCTCCTCCCTGTTTCCCTCCCTCCCGCTTCCCCTCCTCCACATATTTTAGCCCACCTCCACAAACACTGCTGCGGGACACAGTAGGAGTCGTCACTCTAAAAGCTTGGTCAACAAACAGTCATGAACTTACACGATCCAATACCTTTCAAGTGCCATGCAAAGAAGGAAAACTGCATTCCCCTGATTGTCGCAAGAGGAAATGTCCTTCTCGGGAAATACAAGGACATGTCACCCGTATCCTGTCAGTGTGTCGTGAGTTTTGTTTTGTTTTTGAGTAGGAGATAATGGTGTCCAAGTTAGTTTAAGTTGTGAGTTTTTGAACACTGTTGACCATACTGTCATGAAACATTTACACACACACAGACACACATAAAAGAGGCGTTATGTCGAGCCTTGACGTAGAAAAATAACAAAAAAAAAGGCACTCCCAACGTTTTGCATAAAAGGATTTTTGTCGTATGGAAATGAAGTTGCAAATGTTTACAGCGGAAAATTATGCTGATGAAAACAGTTGGGTCGACCGTCTAGTGCGGGCCAAAAATTTACTTGGTGTTTATACGCTGATGCCAGCTTGTTACCTGTGCCTCTGTTCTTGTCACTAATCTTAATGAAATAAATGATTAGATCCGTTAATATCATTTTCTAATAGTTATTCAGCTTTTTTTTTAGTTAGTTTTTGTTAAATAGGGATATAGTTTTTTGTGAGGTTTTTAAATTTCAATTTTATTCACGTGTGCTGGCGATGTTAACTGCTCGTGCTGGCGATGTTAACTGCTCGTGCTGGCGATGTTAACTGCTCGTGCTGGCGATGTTAAATGCTTGTGTGCTGGCGATGTTTACTGCACGTGCTGGCGATGTTAACTGCTTGTGTGCTGGCGATGTTAATCACGCTAACTGCTCGTGCTGGCGATGTTAACTGCTTGTGTGCTGGCGATGTTAACTGCACGTGCTAGCGATGTTAACTGCTCGTGCTAGCGATGTTAACTGCTTGTGTGCTGGCGATGTTAACTGCTCGTGCTAGCGATGTTAACTGCTCGTCTCCTGTTCTGTCTCGGCCCCTCTTACCAGCAGATCATTTTAGACTTTAAAATAACATCTTGACATTATTCCTCTTCCTCCTCCTCCTCCTGCTACTACTTCTATCAACCCCCCCCCCCATAACCCGTGGGGCCGCGGGATTATACGCCACTAAGCAGATTATCTATTTCTTAATGTTTTCTACCTCAGCTTTTTGAAACCCAAGAGGCGACAGCCGGAACAAGACGGAGACAAAAACATAATTCCTTGTATTTTACATCGACGCCATTGTTCATATATGTTTCTGTGCTTCAACAACTGGAGTCTGTGAGAGCGTTGGTGCACTTAGTGAGCCTTGTGCCTCCAGGACCACAGCTGTTAGTCATCAAAACATAAGCTTCCATCTTACCATTTTAAAGAGTAGTATTGGAAGCTGATGTGATTACATTTATGAGTATGTATACTGATGTGATTACATTTATGCATTTATATACATTCTAACACGTGAACTTCGATGCGTGTTTGTTAGTGTTGTAATACTTTCATTTCATATATATATATATATATATATATATATATATATATATATATATATATATATATATGAATCAAGAAGGCAAGCATCGCTCCATTTGGCGCCTAATGTAAGGAACGGCTAAGAGACCGAGACAGCATAGTTAATGTAAGAGGTATGGCGGCTGAGAGAGAGAGAGAGAGAGAGAGAGAGAGAGAGAGAGAGAGAGAGAGAGAGAGAGAGAGAGAGAGAGAGCACCTCTTCCCAACATTAATTTACAAATCATCTTCTCTTCAATTATTCAAGTAAATCAGACAACAGCTCCCTGGATGTGATTTTAACAAGACGTTCTTATACCGCCAGAAATGACGTATATAAACGGATTAAAACACAGGATATATATATATTATTATTATACTCAGACTCCCGTAACCCAGAGTCTCGGATACTGCATGAGGTGATTTTTCACGTAAGTTAAAAATGGAAGAACACGTCACATTGAGGAAAAGAACAAAATTAAACCTCAATATGGCGTCGAGATTACACTGAGACTTTACCTAATGCGGATAATTTCTCTCACCGTCAATTAGGCGTTGTGGTGAGTCAAAACCTCAGTAGCTGGATAGAGTCAGGGGTCACAGCCAAGATTTCTGGGGAGTGAGAGACGAGTCACCTCAGAGGAGCAGCCAGGTGGAGTGAGAGTACAGGTCGATACAACCAGCTGAGAGCCGTCTGGACACATGGCGACAGCTGGTAGAATCAACTGGGTGGTACATCTGAGAACACGCCAACTGGACATACCTAACTGCAGGTGAATAACAGACTGGACACTACCTAACCTGTGATGACGATATGGGCATCATTATTACCCTCGTATGAAGCCTTATCATAGTCTCCACACATCAACATTTGGCTAAAAATTCACCGACATTTACTCGAGTTACCGTGACGACACCAACGCATTAGTCAGACGGGACAGAAAGACAGAAAGCTATAGTATTTCTCCAGGCTCCACTAGAGACGTCAAGGCGCAAACCAGACACCATTCCCTGGACCTACCCACCCACCTACCCACCTACCCACCCACCTACCCACCCCTACCCACCCCTACCCACCCCTACCCATACAGACAAACACCATGACCGTACACTGCCGTAACGTTCCGTCCCATATTATCAAGAAATTGGAGAAAGTAAAGAAAGAGAGAGAAAGAAAGTTTAGTACTCACCGTCTCCCTCAAACAAGGTACAACTCCAGCTTAAAACTTTTGAGGCAATTGTTTACGCGCCGGGTCACAATACTGCTGTTATTTTGGTCTCAAATTTTTCGTAAGAGAGAGAGAGAGAGAGAGAGAGAGAGAGAGAGAGGAGAGAGAGAGAGAGAGAGAGAGAGAGAGAGAGTGTTGTTTTTAATGTGTATTTTCGTAACTACAGTGAAGAGAACAACGCCAGTGTTTTTATTTTGGGGTTAGATTAGGGTTAGGTGACGGCAACACTCAACACCATCAGGTACAGGTACAATATCTATCACTTAATTCCTATCTTCCCTCCCATTCACCAACCATCACCACCATTTCTACTACCACCATCCACCACCCCCATCATCCACAACCACCCTCCATCACCACCACCATTCAACACCCAAATTAATTTCTACTGCTCATTCTATCACCCACACCACTCACTACAATAATATTCACTAATTCCACACTAATACTACTCATTCACTCACTCAATTTAATATAATAATTTACTACGGTTTTTAACAGTACTTATGCTTATTCTACGCCTGGGGGGGAAAGGAGAGGGGAGAGGGGAGAGGGGAGTAGAGAAGAAGAGGGGAGAGGGGAGAGGGAGAGGGGAGAGGGGAGAAGAGGAGAGGGGGGAGGGGGGTATTAGTGGTGTTTTATTTGAATGTTATTATTAAATGGTATTATCTTATTAATTATTTATTGTTCTGATAATGTTATCCTTGTTCTCCTCTATAATTGATAATTAATCTTTTTGTTATCATTAATTATCATTATTCATTATTATTCTTGTGTTCTGGAGACATTATTATTCACTGTGTGTATGTGTGTGTCTTTAAAGCTTTACTACACGTGACCTTTTGACCTTTAGCCGTGACCTCTGACACCGAGACGTCTATCGTGGGGTCAACTTTGTCTTGAGATGACAAGTGTGACTGTGACCCTTCCAGATACTCCCCCCTTCCAGATACTCCCCCTTCCAGATACTCCCCCTTCCAGCAGATATTCCCCCTTCCAGATACTCCCTCCTTCCAGATACTCCCCCTTCCAGATACTCCCCCTTCCAGATACTCCTCAAGGTGATGGCTGCACCGTACAGAAGCCATGTGTCCCTGGGAGGCAGTGAAACATCAACCCTTCCTGATTATACCAACGGTCGTTTGATCCTACTCGGTTTAATTATTGGACACGCTAACGAGGTGACCTAAGTCAGCTGGCGGAGTCCCGAGCCTAGAATCGGTCGTCTTAGCTTGTGGCTGGTAGTGGCGGCGGGGCCCTGAGCTGAGAGTCGTCTTAGCTTGTGGCTGGGAGTGGCGGCTGGGACTCAACACTTCAGCAACAGTTAAAAGGCTTCAACAACTGTTCGTCTTCAG